GCAGATGTGCGAGACCAGGGCAGGTGTGCGAGACCAGGGCAGGTGTGAGTGAGAGACGCAGAACTCAACGTGCAGGTGACTGGACCACGCGCACGCAGCACCAGCCCTGCTGGTGAGCAGAGCAGTGAACCCCACAACAGTGGTATCCTCTCTGGCTTTCAGGGTGCACAAACCAGAGCACCTGGACTCTACCCTGGGTCGTGGGGCACGGGTACCGGCTCTCCAGCACCCGGGAGGCTCTGTGTGCATCTTGGAGCACCGGCCGGGATGGGTCTCCTCGTAAGTGACCACCCCACTCCCGACACTCCCAAGGGGAAGGGGCGCCCACCTGGGTGGCGGGATCATAGTGGGCGGTGGTGCGGATGGCCTTGGTGTTGCTCCCGTGACTCAGCTCAGTCAGAGCGAAACAGCCAAAAATCTAGGAGTCCAAGTGCAAAGTACGTAAGGCGAGCTGTTCCTGAGGGCCTGCCCCACCTGTCCTGGCAGAACTGACTGGGCCTGCCCATCGCTGTTCACCTGCCTCCCCAGCTCTGACCTGGCTGCGTCCCATGGGACTGGGTGCCACCTCGTGAGATGACAGGCAGACCAGCCACAGCCCTCTCTGGGTCACAGGGTGGTGGGGACTGCTCCGGACCCCGGAAGCAGCGCCAGGCCCTGGCTTGGGCGGGCAGCAGAGCCCACTGTGTGTGGGCTGGAGAGCGGACGTGGCCCGAGACTCCCCTTAGATAAGATGGCCACAACCTCCAGGGGCCTCTCCTGCACTGCCCTTCCCCAAATCCCAAGAACAGGGAGGAAGGCCAGGCCATTCTTGGCGCTGACCTTACCTCTGTGTTGAAGATCTTTTCAATGTATTTGAAGTGTCTTTCAGAACCGGAGTTGTAGACTGCCGACCCGAAAACCTGCAGGAACACCATTGTGTAAACAGACGGGGCTAAGAAGCTCCGCTGCTCAGGAACTGGAGGCCGACGTGACATCGACACGGCCCCCGGCTCCGCGCCACCATGCTGGCTCAGCGAGGCCCCATGGGACAGGGGCAGCTCCTCCCGAGGTTCGTCTGCCCAGGGGCCTTGGATTCCACTGGCAGCAAGGCCCGGTCCCTGGCCAGGCAGCCTGCAGGCACCTCCGGCCTATGACAAGTCCTGAGCCGCTGAGAGGGGCCAGGAGGACGGTGAACAGCAGGGAGAGCCCCACCGCCACCGACAGCACACCCAGGACGAGGGCCACACCCTGCCCAGTCCCCTACCAGTGTGTGGGAAGGAGGCAGTGGCCACCTCCCTTCGGCCCGCCTTCCTATTCCCACTGGTCACACACACAGCAAAAAGGAACACAAGGCCCCAGGATCTGGCATGGGCCTTTGAGTTTCATCCAAGTGTGCAGCTTTGCCTGTGGTTTGCTGGCTACCTGGGGAAGCATGGTGGTGGCCCCCGTCCAGCTGCGTGTGGCCATGTGCAGTGGCCTGCGCTGTGCACTCACCAGCAGGTGCAGGAAGCACTTGGTTGCCAGGGACCAGTCGTACATGCCCAGGCAGTGGATCAGGGCCCAGACCCTCAGCGGGCTTGCTGCCAGGTCCTCCACACTGAAGAAGCCGTACTCCAGCACCCGCTTGCACTGAAGGAAGCTGAGCTCCCGGTACTTCTCCAGGGGCAGGTCGGCCCCACGGGAACGGGCGAAGAGAGGGTCCTTCTCCAGAGCCGAGAAGATGGTTTTCTGGAAACACAGGAGACAGTGCGGCCGACTTGGAGGAAGGACGGGACTTCATTCACCCCCACCCACACAGTTCTCAAGGCTGGAGCTGCCGGGGACACAGTCTAACCCAGGACCAGCGAGGAGACGGCTGCCACTCCCAACTGAGGGACCAGGGGCTTGAGGGTAGGAGCTTAGACTGGGGGTCTGTTCCTGTCTCTCTGGTCGGTTCCCTGAGGCCCGTCCAGGGTTACAAAGATGAGAACGGCCCATGGTGGCCCAGGATCAGCTTCTCACAGAGGAGGCAGCCCCAGGACGCCACGCAGCTCAGAGCTGCAGACCCACTTCCACCAGGGGACGAGGACGCCGGCAGCACACGCCGCAGCGCCACGCACCTCACCTTAAAGCGGACCACATCCTCGCCTTCCAAGAACAGCAGCAGCTCAGCGCCACTGAAGGATGCGCGGGCCCGGTACCTGCTCAGGGGTCCCCTGGGGAAGTCTGGCCACAGGGCACGGGCGCTTCCTTCCAAGGTGGGCGCCATCCTCTGCCGTCAACCTGCGGAGGACACTGCCTGAAGCAGGGTGGCAGGTCACCTTCAGATGGCCACATGCCTGGCCAGGTGCCACCACCCAAGCAAAGCCAGCCCTGACCTGAGGGGACGGCAGGCAGGGTCCACACAGAGAAGGGGTGCCATATTCCAAAAGAGAAGGCGAGGTGACATTTCTCACCCCCACTCCTGGACAAAGGGTGACGAGGACACAAAAGAGAGCTAAGAGAGGTCCCGGGGCTGGCGCTGGAAGGACCCGGGAAGTGGGTGTAGCAAACAGATGGTAGGCGAGGGGTCCAGAGGGTACTGGGGACTTGGGCTCAAGCAGCCTTGGCTCAGCCTGAGGACACCACGCAGGGCTTCCCTGGGAGTCCAGCAAAGCAGCCTGGCCACACACCATGGTACGTTACGTTCCTGGACGCGGGCCATCTGTCCCAGGCTTTGGTCCTGTTCTGTCCCCAACATGCAGACACCTGCCTCTCCACTAAGAGAAAAGGGCCCTCAAACAAGGAATTCAGGGACTTCTGAGTCGGCTGGCCCTCTCCCAAGACCTCAGCTGGTGGCGGTGCTGGAGGAGATGGCTGTGGACCCGGCTCTCCACAACCATGGAGCCTGGGGAACTGTGAAACGCTTCTAGGTGACTGCTGAAGTACTCCAGAGCTGGACTCTGCCCTGCACAGTCCACAGTGCCAGTAAGAGGGAAAGGAGGGACGTGGCCACCAAGCCCTGCTTGGGGGCCAGGGAGTGCGCTCTGCAGACAGGCCCCGGGTAACCCTCCCATCTCTGTCCCTGTGGAAACAGGTAAGAGCTGAGGAGCACAGGGCCACTTTGCAGCAGGGAAGAGGCAGCGGAGCTCTGCGGCACCCCCCAAGGTCAGCCTGGGGAGACCCCAGGTCACGGGAGGAGAAGCACACGAGGAGCAAGCGACAGGGGATACTACGAAGAGCAAGGCAGGAGCAGCGGGCAGGAGGGAGAGGCCACGTGGAGACAGCTGCCTCGCAGACAGACTGAGGAGTCTGTAGACTTTCAGCTGGACTGAGTGTGGCCAGCGGGATGTATCCCACAAGTGACGGTGACATAAGAACAGCAGGTCAGGCTGTGCCTGCCCTAGTGACTCCATGGTGTAGGACAGCAGTCCTCAGGCTGTGCCTGCCCTAGTGACCCCATGGTGTGCAGGACAGCAGTCCTCAGGCTGCGCCTGCCCTGGTGAGTCCTTGGTGTGCAGGACAGCAGTCCTCAGGCTGCGCCTGCCCTGAGTGACTCCATGGTGTAGGACAGCAGTCCTCAGGCTGCGCCTGCCCTGGTGACTCCATGGTGTGTAGAACAGCACTCCTCAGGCTGTGCCTGCCCTGGGTGACTCCATGGTGTGTAGGACAGCAGTCCTCAGGCTGTGCCTGCCCTGGTGACTCCATGGTGTGTAGGACAGCAGTCCTCAGGCTGTGCCTGCCCTGGGTGACTCCATGGTGTGTAGGACAGCAGTCCTCAGGCTGTGCCTGCCCTGGTGACTCCATGGTGTGTAGAACAGCAGTCCTCAGGCTGCGCCTGCCCTGAGTGACTCCATGGTGTGTAGGACAGCAGCTCTCAGGCTGTGCCTGCCCTGGGTGACTCCATGGTGTGTAGAACAGCAGTCCTCAGGCTGTGCCTGCCCTGGTGACTCCATGGTGTGTAGAACAGCAGTCCTCAGGCTGTGCCTGCCCTGGTGACTCCATGGTGTGTA